AAGATATTTGATATCACTTTAAAAGACAAAGGGAAAAATTGCAAAATTGGCCAAAATTAAAAAGGTAGCTTACTGTGTGGGCTTTAATTGTGAACAAAAGTTATGTTTACATTTATTCTCATGGTCTAACAAACATGTCGAAAGTATTTCCTTCCCCATTAAAGGGTAGATGAATATCACAATAAATATCGGTATTGAATGATATGAAAAAAAGGTGATATTTTGATAATATTTCAAAATTATATTACTTTAGTTCACTGTAGTAAAATTACAAAGTGTATAAGGGGTAATATTATAAATATATCACGATACAAGTCATTTTATTTCACGGTAGCGATATATATATCACAATATAGTTATTTTTGCTTTAAATAAGGTCTTTATGACATCAACATTTTTGATAGAAATTTCATAATTCTTGTCACCACTGTCAATATCACAAATGAACTAATACTAGCCTAAATAAAATAAAAAAAACTCACTCAAGACAAGTAAACAATCAGTGATTAAATAAAAAAAATTAGACTATAAGCAATAGCGCAAAGATTAAACAACAGCACAAAAAAACTACAGTAGAACAAATAAATAAGCAATGCTACATACATTGTATAAAGTAACCAAATGTATAAAAACACTGCATATTCTTCACTGTCAACTAAATATATATTTCTTCTTGAAGTTACAAAAGTGATTTAGTCAAAAGCAAAGATTTTCTCTCTTTTGTTATTTGATTAATATGAATGACTGCTGTCACTTTAAGAGCTGCCCAGATCCAATATACTGTTACACATGTGTTTTACTTCTCAGCTGTTCACTTTCACTTACCTACTGTGTTTACGAGTGTATGTCTTAATTTGTCAGAGTTAAACCCTCAAGCATGGCTCAGTGCCACTTGGATATTACAGGAAAAAACAGCAAAATTATACAAATATTATCAAACATAAGACAAGTGAAGTCAGTAATAAATACAAATAATCAAAGTGCAACCAATGGCACAAACAAATGCAATAGGACAAATATACAAACAGTGCTTTAAGTTCTTCAGGCAGGTCTAACAATGATTTTCTCTCTGTTGTTTACGTTCCCTTAAGACATAACCTACTGTGTGTACGAGGATACTGGCTAAGACCAGTATTTTGACATAATTTGTCATATATTTGACAAGCGCAAGAACACGTAAAACAGAGCTCACTTCAGCATTGGCGCGCTGTCTGAGAGACGCGGGTCTCTGTATTGACGCGAAGCAAACAGCGTGCGAGTCCTGAGTTCACCTATCGAATGTGCTTGAATGTTTAAATTAACAATACTTAAAAATGCACATGGAGTTCACAGCGTCAAATGTGAACTGAGCTGCACTGAGCCTCTGAAAACACTGGATAATGAACAAAGTGAAACTTTGACAGAACAGATTAGATTGTGGCGGGTCGTAACACTGTAACAGAAAGCTTCAACTGGACTGAATGAGATGACTGAGTGACAGGAGGTGCAGATATGTAAGACTGCTGCGGTGTGTGCGAACTTGCAGCTGCAGTATCGATATTGTATATCAATACTGCAGAAAAACAACATCTTATAGATTCAAACATTTCAGTTCATGCCCGTAGCCAGCTATAAGATCACAGAGGTCCGGACCTCTGTAAATTTTTCAAAGACATGTTCTGTGTGAATGGCCAGTAAGAACCTAGAGTAAATATTTAAACATAAAGAGTGACAGGACAAGATCACTGAGATGCTACCCTGCTCTTTCTCTTAATAAGCAGTGTTCTATTTACATTCATTATTTCAAATATTTGTTTACAGGAGATGCAAGTTATTTTTTTCTACTTTTCACATGCCAATATTTAAAATGTATTTTGTTTGCAAGAGATGCTGGTTATTTTCTACTTTTGACATGTCAATATTAATTTATTTTGTTTGCAAAAAATGAAAGATAAGAAATGCCCACTTTCATTAGAACAGCCCCCCCCCCCCCACACACACACTTTTAATAGTATATTTACAATACAA